TATAATTTGGATCAGCAACTCCTAATTGGATTAGGAGCTGATCCTTTAGGGTTACAAAAGAAGGAAGGGGCGGCAGCCTTTAGAAGAGACATACTCACATCCTCTTTAGAGCTGATATCACAGAAGGAAGAATTAAGCAACCTTACAGAATTCTTTCTTGCCGCCTCCTTCTTGCCGCCTACCTTGCCAATTCGATCTCCAGTTCAGTGGGAGAAGTCAAGATTTGATCTTGATATCAGTTTTTTGTGAAAGAACTGATAGGAAGCTGTGCTCACGTGCCATCCTGCTATTTCTTGCGAAGGACTAGGTTCTTGGAAAAGAACTCTGCTGATTCTGCTCCATCCTGCACTGCACCATCTTCAGTGGGAGCAGTCTTTAGATCCTTCCTTGGGCTGAACACCTCCATTGGGAGATATTACTTCTTTGTATCAAGTATAATTCTCTCCTACTGCTTTTGTTCAGATCTGGTTTAGTTTATGGTTCAAGATTGATCCTTGAAAATATGATTTTCTAAATAGGGAATTCGATTCCCAGTTGAAAGGGAGAGAGAAAATTTTTGAAATTCGCCCACCTTATTCCGCAAGATTTGGGCGTCCATACGATGGATCTCTCATCCCTTCATCAATACCATATATTTGAGTAAATCCCTTTGCAACTAATCGGGCCTTATACCTTTCAACGGAACCATCAGCATTATGTTTCATAGTGGACACCCATCTACATCCAACCGGTTTCTTCCCTTTAGGCTGATCAACTATCTCCCAGGTATTGTTTCTAATGAGGGCATCTATTTCTTTTTTTATTGCATCTTTCCACTCAGGAACTGACAAGGCTTCCAATATTGTTCCGGGAATGGGAATATTAGCAATGGATGCAAGAAAAGACTTGTAGGAGGGAGACAAATGACCATAGGACAAGAACTGGGAAATGCAGTGAGTTGTGGATGTGGTGCAACAACGTTTGCCTTTGCGGACTGCTATGGGAAGGTCAAGGTCATTCAATGAAGGTGAAGGCTCCATGGTGGGAGGTCTCTCATCTGTAGTATCTGGTGAAGAGACTGTGGTACCTGGATCTAGATCTGTAGAAGGAATTGGGGCTGGCCTAGACTGTTGATGACCAAAACCAACATACCTCCACCGTCTGTGATAGACTCTCACATCTCTACACCTTTGACAACCCTCCCCTCTACACCTCTCTTCACTTAATGGGATAGGTAAAGGAACTTCTAATGAGCTAATCCCAACCTCACTACTCTCCCCCTGAGGAGAAACCCTTGGATAATAGGGTACATTCTCAAAGAAAGTGACATCAATTGAGAGAAATCTCTTCCCAAAAGTGGGTTCATAACAGTAATATCCCTTTTGAGTTTGTGCATAACCAAGGAAAATACATTTTGAGGCCTTAGGATCAAATTTGGAACGATGAGGGCCAAGAATCTGAACAAAGCAAGTGAAACCAAAGGTTTTAAGGGGAACTGTAAACAACTCTTTATCAGGATATAAAAGGGTAAATGGAAGTTTCATGTCAAGAACCTACAAAGGAATCTGATTGATGAGATATACTGCTATAAGAATAGCATCCCCCCAGAAACGTATAGGCACATTGGAGGTAAACATAATGCTTCTGGTCATCTCTAATATGTGTCTATTCTTTCTTTCAACAACCCCATTCTGCTGTGGTGTATGAGGATAGGTACTCTAATGGATAATCCCATGGTCAAGTAAGTAGGAGGCTAATGGGTTTGCAAAATATTCTTTTGCATTATCAGATCTAAAAATTTTGATTTTGACCCCAAATTGGGTTAAAATCATCTGATGAAAGATCCGAGTCAATGTTGGAACTTCATCTCGAGAACACATAAGGTAAACCCAAGAAAAATGAGTATAATCATCAACAAACAGCAGGAAATATCTATACCCCCCATGATAGTGGTATGATAAGGTCCCCAAACATCAGTATGCACAATTTCAAAGGGAATATTGCTTCTGTTATTACTCAATGAATAGGTTGTCCTATAGTGTTTTGCAAACTCACAACTCTCACATTTCAAACTAGACATCTGGATAGATTCAAATAAATTAGGAAGCAAACTCTTCAAATCCCGAAAGGATAAATGACCCATCCTATTATGCCAAATCATAACCTGATCAACAGACTAAGAAACACAAGACCTCTTAGCTATCTTCCCAATGAGAACTCCCTCCAAGCAGATAGACTCTATTCGCCTCACAGCTAGTCCTAATCACCTTCCTTGTCTCCGGATCCTGAAAAACACATCGATCAGGGAAAAATGTTACTGAACAATTCTGTTTTTTGTAATGCTACTAACTAAAAGTAAGTTAGTACTAAGCTTAGGAACATGCAAGACTGAAGATAAGGAAATGGCATTAGACAACTTCATGTATTGCTTGCCAGAAATAGGAACAAGGGAGACATCAGCAATGGACACTTTGTCTCTGTCGGAAGATAAATGATAGGTGGTAAACAGTGATGGCGAGCCAGTCATATGGTCATATGCTCCTGAATCTATTATCCAAAAATGTTTTGTATTACCTGTAGCTGAAGCCCGATTACCTAAATGAGCAAAGGCTAAGGTAGAAGGTGTTGATGGTGTCTGAGGAGGTGGAATTGAATAATCAACTTCATTTTCCAGTTGAGTTAGGGCAGCTCGAACAGCAACTAAAGTGTCTAGAGGAGTGCCTCTTGTGCCAAATGAGGTTGTATTATCAGTGTTAACAGCCATATTTGCATTCCCCTTTTTGTTTTTGAGTTTTGATGGAACTAGATGTGGATGCAACTTCCAATAAGTGTCTTTAATATGTTTAAGTTTCTTGCAATGCTCACATACTAGGTCCTTCTTAGCTACCTTCTTCATATCTCTCTCCTTATCACCCCCAGATTTGGGCTTAATTGCTGCCAAGGCTGACTCGAAAGGCTGTTGTTGTAGCATAACTTTTCTCCTAGTCTCTTCATTGTGTATTAGGGAATAGGCCTAGGAAAGAGTTACATAGTCTCTTGTCAACAACTACTGTCTCACAATATCATATTCAGAATTTAGACCAGCCAGGAACTCAAAACACTCTATTAGTTTCAACCTGCTTTCTATAAGTCTGAGCATCCTTCTGACTTTTCCATTCAATTGTTTCAAGGTGATCAATTTCATGCCACAGGGATTTCAAGGTTGAAAAATAAACAGAGACATGTTTTTCTCATTGCTTGAGATTTTTAACTTCACATTTCAACTCATAAGCCCTAGCAACATTAAGGGGCTGAGAGTAGGTTTATTTCACAACATCCCATATTTCCTTAGCTGTTTTTGCCCACAAGTAATTTCGGCTGATGTGTAGATGCATGGAATTGCACAACCATGTCATCACCAAATAATTCTCCCGAATCCACTTAGCATAAGTGGGATCCTCCTTAGTTGGTTCCTTCATGTCCCCCAACAAATAGTTCAATTTTCCTCTACCCCCAATGGCCATCATGGCTGATTGGGCCCATTCTAAGTAGTTTGATCTATCAAACTTAATAGTTGTAATCTGGAAAGTGTTCTCAGTCATGTTACCTGAACCAGTCCCAAAAACACCCTCCCCTTGGCTCTTAAACTCCATTCTTGGTTAGGGGTTAATAAAAAAAACCTTCTAATTACTGTAACAATCGGCCTACTGGGTCTGAAACTAATAACAATAAGTCTAGAAGCAGAATTCAGATTCAGTAATTAAAAAACACTTTCCAATTCTCTATATCACTGTACCAGTCAGCCTGCTGAATCTAATAACAGTTGGCCTAGGAACAGAAATCAGATTCAGCAGTACTGGTTTTTGAAAGAACAAAGAACAGAATTCCTAAACAGAGAATAAAGAACAGAAATCTGATACCACTCTTATCAAAAAGCAAGTCTAATCTCTTATCCGGACACAGTAACAATCCTGGATCTCAGGGCTTTCTTCTTAAACCCTAAATCAGAAAAAAATAATAATTTTTTTTATAACTGTACCTCTCAGATTAAGTTATTCTTGCTGCCGATCTCAAGAAGGAATAAAACCTTACCCAGAAATTTCTGAAAAATCTGATCTTGATTCAAAAGTCTTGATGAAATTCTAATTGTCAACTTCAGTTTTGCTCAAAACACTGGTCTTGATTCTGATCAATCCCATAAACTTCTGAAAACGAACTGATCTTGAGAAAACCCTCTTTGAAAACTTCAATCTTGATCAAAGAACAAAGAAAATCTGATCGGCACCTCCAATCTTGATCAAAGACCTAGCCTTGATCACTTAATTCTTCTCTGATTCTTCTTGATTACAAGGAGCATTCTCCAATCCTTGGACAGTTGCTGAAGACTTCTTGCAATCTCCAAGAATCAGCCAAATGAAAAATCCTTCTAAACTTTCAGCCCTAAATAATTCTCATGTGGTGGGCTGAACTAATTCCACATGAGAAAACCTAGATCGAGTGCTCTGATACTAAGTCGTCGTACAAGATTGCAACTAGTCTTAGGTTTTGAACAGAAACTAAAAGAGAAGAAGAAAAGAAAGAGAAGAGGAAAGGAGAGAGAGCACGAGAGAGATTTCTGAGAAAGAGAGAGTGGGTTGTTGTTGAAACAGCCGCCCCACTCTTTAAATTTGTATACATAGTGTTATAATTGTAGGACTGATTTGCTTACATGGCAAGATACGATAAGATAAGATAAACAAAATTAAAAGACTAATCCTGCTAAAAGACTAATCCTAATCATAACTTATTGCTGTCATACGAACACAGTAATGTGGGGTCCACATTAGTTTTTTCTACAAGGTGCAGTCACAATCACGGTAAATGAGCAAGAATAAACTGCAAAAAGCATGGGATAAAGGAGGTGACAACAAAATGTTACATATATGCTGATTGTCAAGAGTAATATACCAGGATGACAGATTTCAAGATATACAAGTAAAAATCCAAATAAAAGTAATTATATTTTACTAATTATAATTTGAATTGCAATGATTGAAACATGCCTGCCCAACTCGATGATGCGTTGGTGTTGTAACCATGATGGATGTTCTACTAACCAATCTGCAAATGAAAATGTTCCAGGCCAAAGTAAGTTTGCATTCAGCTGATGAAATGAGAATTCTCGAATAAGCAATTCCTGTGGACAACAAAAAAATAATTTAGGAGAGCTATAAAGAATATGACTTCCAAAACAAGTCACATAGATGAAAATATCAATAATTATAACATCTAAATAGATGAAATACTAAAATCTGAAATCTCTATTGAATTTCAATAAATACAGCCCAAGAACAAATAGCTTATTAAGTCAATCAAAGTAACAGCTTGTACATTAGATAATGCCAATATGTATAAAAAATCACTTTTAGAGTTATTCCAAGTTCATAACCACATCCAGGTGTGCAATACATTATGTTTTACTGCATCTGCTTCCTACATTTTTTTATAAATACTGCTTCCTGCATTTTTTATCCATAACAACTCAATATTTCATATTAGAACTACTTGATTTATTACGAACTTCTATCTTTATAAGTTTCAAATCACTTGGGCTCAATTTTTCAATCTTGACCTTAACTACAAACAAGCAAGGTCATTGCAGGGAACTTACATGGATCTTCAATCCTACTTAGACCTTTCCTTACTCCATTATTGCAATCTCAAGAACATCTCAGACTCAGATTGGGACATTCTACCTCTAGAAAAGCTACCTCTAATAAATCTCCATTTTTTTTTTTTTTTGGAAAAGGTAAGGTATTTTATTAAATCAAGAACCAGTACAAAGGAGCCTAGGCCATTAGAGGCTGCCTATAGCCACCACAAATTACAGATACATCCAGTTCTGAGATCTAAACAATAGACTCAAATTCTGATTTTTAAACACCTCCGTTGCCGACACCCAGGACAGAAGTTTACCCACAAATTTCTGCACCATTTCCTCTGGAGATTTAGCTTTGCCCTGAAAAATTCTGTTATTTCTTTCAATCCAGATAGTCCAAAGCACGGCAGCCAGGATAGTCTTCCAAACCAAGGTACCTTTCTTGCTGAGACCCTCAATCTGCCAACACAACAGCAGATCATTCACAGAATTTAGCATTACCCAGCTGATTTCCAAAGCTTGAAGAAAATGCCTCCAAATATAATTCGAGACTGGGCAATGTAAGGCCAGATGTTCAGTAGTTTCTACTACCCCACCACACAAGCCACATGACATGTCCGAAATCTGTATGCCACATTTCACTAGATTAACTTTGGATAGACATTTATTTAAAGACATTGTCCAGAGCAAAAACTTCACTTTAGGACTGATTGAGTTCCAAATCTGCCTAGCCTGAAAGTTTCCCTGACCTGAACTTATCAACTTACTGAACAAAGACTTTACAGAGAACCTGCCATCACCTTCCCATTTCCATCTCCAAGCATCCTCCATGTTTAGGTCAATCCTCTGGTTATGGAGCAGGCCCAACAGATTTGCATACTCCTCGATTTCCCAGTCAAAGAGACGCCTCCTACAAGTTAGGTTCCAACTGAAAGAGTTACCATCCACATTGAAATTCTCAGCCACCGAGGAATACTGATTTACAAATTTGATACAAGAGAGGAACTCCATCACACTCTCAAATTCCCATCTCTCGTTAAAAAGAAAGCAGTTGAAGGCAGTTGAGAGCAGATTACCACCAAACCCCCTCCTCAGCAAGGTTGAAGGCGCAAAATCCAACTGGATCACACTATTCAAGACAGCCTATATGGAACATGACAATGGACTCTAGTTACTTCCACTTACTAGTCTTTTCAACTTCAGGCCTAGCCTTTGGTATTCAAATTCTGAAAATTTTCTTTTGAAAAAGGTAAAGTAATGCTCATATAATTTGTTATATCAGAAAATTATGTGAATAGACTTTGCTTGACTTATTCTGCTAGAAGCCTTTGTGTAATTTAATAGAGTGTCGATTTGGGCACACCCCTAGTGAAATGATAATTGACAAGAGACTCCCCTGTTCATACTTTATATTGATAAAGGCTAATATATAGGCCTACTGCTGTCTTTTAAAGCAAATCCATTTTGACCAAACGTAGGGTTGTTCCCAGGTTATCAAAAGCAGGGATGTTCCCAAAATAACTATCCATTTTAAATTCTTCTTAAACTAGCACTGGAGTTCTTCTCAGTAGGGACACCTAAGAACAAGATTGGTTTTTCTTAAAGTCAGACTCAGACCACATTATGGACTTTTCCTTAACTACCACTAGACTTCCTTCGTCTTCCACTTTTCCCATCTCCTTTTGTTTGCTCTCCAACTCAGGCTTTTCATTCAGTATTATATAACATCTTCTTCACCATATAAATCCAGTAAGATTTCTACATCAAGGAGGTAGAGGTTCTCAAAACCAAACAAGTCTAGAAGAAATATGGGAACCGGAATCAATACTGGCTTCATGCTGTACTTCTCATGTCTTTGTTGAGGAGGATATATCCAGCAAATTCTGATACACGGGTTATTGGGGACACATAGTGGAGATGGTGGGCGCCAGCACTGCCTAATAGAGGCAGAACCAGGGAACTCCAGTGATAACCGTGTCAAGCGCATCAACTAAAAAGAGGTAACACTGAGTCGACTGCCAGAGTCCTCTGCCAGCCCACAGAAGAGAGGGTGCCTTTAGCAAGGATAACGTCATCTGAAAATCACGAGAGTAGGGATTGCCGAAACCTCTTCACCAGCTTTCAGAGAAGAACGATTTTTATTTTTTTGTTTGCTTTTTCTTTTTCATTTTTCCCGTAACAAAGAGTTATATGAACTCTTCCCGCGAACAACCCAAGCTTGGCAGACGTAAAAAGGTAAGACCCTAGTGGAAGGCTGTGTTTGGTTTGAAAGAAAAAGGTAGGGAAACCTGTATAAACCTTCCTCAGGACAGAATTTGAGATCATGAACCATATGGGTTATCTGCTAGACCAAGTAAAGAGTACATGACTGAACTAATCAACATAATCATGAAAATAATAACTTGTAAGTTAAACAAAGTGAGGGTTTTAGTGGTTACATAATAGAAGGAAAACAAACGAAGAGAAAATATTATCCCAGTAATGTATGATTTCTTTTCTTTTTTTATAGGCATCAGTGAAAAAAAAAATTGTAGGAGCTCACCATGCCGGGAAATTGGTGGCTTCTGTCAACAAAGCTCTGATCTTTCTCTCCCGTCTCCTCTCCTGCGAGAAGAACATCATAAACATACATCGATAACACCACATACACACAAAGCAAACACAGAGTGACAAAGAGAGAGCGTACCCGCAGAGCTATCATCTTCGTCGGCGAAAAGCGATGATGGAGAAAAGAGTGCAATGTCCATCTACACTCAACTACGCGCAAACCCAGAGCGACCAGAAGCACTGTAAAGCTGATAAAAGTCATAAAGCCGAGCCGCAGCAAGTATTGAGCCATCGAGGTCGAACTTAGGGAAATTGTCCAAAACCCACCAATTCTCTTAAATTCATCATAACTTTTCAAAACGTCAAAAAATTCACCATCTTATTAACTTGATTTTAAACAGATTATTGGAAGTTAATACATTACCATTTTACCCTTTATAAAAAAATATAAAATATATACTTATATATTTTAATATTTTAATTACAAAAACATGAAAAAAATACATAATCAGAAATTACAAAAAAATATAAAAAACTATAGAAATTGAAAACAAAAGCAGAAAATAAAAATTATAAAAAAACAGAGAAATTGCAAATAAATAACAAAAATACAGAAAAATTTATAGATTGCAGAAAATAGAAAAATGTAAAAAAAACATCAGAAATTATAACAAAACACTAAAAATGCAAAAAAAAAAACAAGAAAATTGAAAACTGAAAAATACAAAAAGAAACTCGAAAAATATAAATATTGGATAAAAACAGAAATTTCAAATATACATAAATTGATAAAATTTCAAAAATTATATATTATAGAAAAAAGTAAAAAAAAAATGTTAAAGAAAAACACAAGAAAGTGATAAAATTTTCAAAATGATAATAAAAACCTACACAAAAATACATAAAATGATAAAAATTTAAAAGTATCAACTAAAAAATCAAAAATTAAAAAAATATATATATTTTTTTAATTATATGTTTTAGAAAAAATCAAAAAATATAAACAAACTAATAAAATGATAATCTTTTTTCAAAAAATAAACAAAAAATAGATATTGAATTCAAAGATTGTTACAACAAAATTTCAAAATATATTTCAGACAATCAGATAAACAATTACAAAGATATTTTTTTACATAAATTTGTAGAACCCTCGATGGGGATTTACATTCCATATTCAAAATAATACATTGCAAATGTTTCAAAACATCAAAAATCTTTGAAATTTTTTATCGTCTTCTTTCAAATCTTCAAATAATAGATATGTGTGGCAGTGACCTTCAAACGAGAGAGAGGGTTGTGTAGTGGCTATCTTCAAGATCTGAGTGAGAGAGAAGGTGCTATGGCAATAACAAGATCTAAAGAGGGTGGTGTGGTAGCGACAACATCTGAGCAAGAGAGAGGGTGGTGTGGCGGCTACCTTCAAGATCTAAGCAAGAGAGAAGGTGGTGCGGCAACAAGATCTGAAGAGAGTGGTGCGGTGGCAAGATCTGAGCAAGAGAGAGGGTGGTGCAACTACCTTCAAGAACGAGAGAGAAGGTGTTATGGCGATGGCAAGATTTGAGCAAGAGAGAGAGAGAATTTCGGTCTAACCCTAACCTAAATGACCCTTTTCCCCTAATTCGCCATTCAAGGGTAATTTGGTCATGAAAAGTGTTATTTATGCTGACATGGCCATTTATGTTAAGAAACATTAATGGTGCACAAACGGAAGGTGATTTTTGGAAAATATAACTCACTGGCATGGGGTTCCCAGGATGTTTTGAAAAGTTGTGGTGAGTTTAAGAGAATTCATAAAAAGTGATAGTGGGTTTTGGACAATTTCCCTAAAACTTAAAATGGAAAATTTCTTAAGGGCGAATTTCTTAAAAGGCTAATTGACTAAGTATATCCCTACTGTTTGATTATTGTCTAATACTACCTTGGAAAAATTGCCACTACCATTAAAATATTAATGGAAGGGCTAAAATGTCCATTTAGCCCTTAGGTCAAATTGAAAGCTCCTCTAGTTCTTCTTCATCTTCCTCATTTTGTCTTCGTTGCCCAGGTTCAGATCTAGGTTCCTTCATCTTAGATGAGATGGGTAGGTATGGAGGAGCTTTGAATAGATGCAGATCTGAGTAGAGAGCTTTGGACATATGCAAAACAACACTAGCCCCTCTCTCCCCCCCCCTCCCCCTTTCACCCTGTTTCATCACCGCCGCCGCAGTAGCTGTGGATCCCTCCACTTCCGGCATCTCTTTCCGTCCCCTTCGTTCTCTCTCCCTCTCACCCCTGTTTGCAACATAAAATTGTAGATCTACGCTAGATCTAGCGTTAGACTGACTATTAAATTAGTTAACAAGTTAAGATCTAGCCTTTTTTTTTTTAATATTTGTTTCCCATTATAGAATCTATAACTCAAACTATAAGAATGGGTAAAAACCTGATTGTATTGCCATTGATTTGTGCAATTCTTGTTGAATCTGATTTGTGAAAGTTTTGTCCCATTTGGCTGGACCCGCACATACACATAGTGTGCTCGAAGAATTTGAAATCCCCATTATCTCTCTGTCTTTTTGTTATTAAAGTTAAGAAAAAGAAAGAGTTAGCTTAGATTGCGGTCTCTACAACTGTCATCTTTGTGTGAGTTAAGTTAGTTTAGATACCGAAAATACTTGCAACCAATCAACCTGTATAATAATTGAACCCTAGTTAGGGTTTAAAAACATTAGCAAGTGAACTATCGTCCGGATGAACAGTTTAATTGTTCTCCCTCTCGCCCATGTCTTTGTAGGAAGCCGTCTTTGGTGAGATTGAGGCTCAGAGAGAACCAACGAAAATAGGGATAACTCTTTTTGCCGTCAAGATGGATTTTTTCTTCACCACATAGTAGAGCTTCTAGGTTTTCATTAGCAGACTGGCAATAGGTGTTAGTGGCTCTCTTGAAGAAGACAGTGAAGGAGGAGGGAGAGGGAGATGGATGAAGGGTAAAATTGAGTTTAAAAAAAAAATTATATGTCATGTGTGACGGAATATTAACGGATGCTAACAGTAAGGGTAGAGCTAGTCAATTATCAAAAACAATAGAGGTAGCATTAGACAATAGTCAAATAGTAGGGGTATACTTAGTTAATTAGTTAAACCATGAGGGTAGTTTAAGAAATTCGCCCATTTCTTAAATCTATGCTACTTTAAAAAAACATAAATGACCTCAAGAATATTTCTGGAATTTTCTAAGGACAAAATTTACCCCTCTATATTTAAATTTATTAATAAAAAATGAGGGCAAATAGGATAATCAGTTCTTGATATTAAATGAGTTGAAAAGAGGTAATTTTAACATATTCAATGCATTCAATTCTCTCTCATTAAATCAAACATTTAAGTTATTAACTTGCATTCATGTTCATTGAATCATATATTTAAGTCATTTTTGTTCTTCTCATCATTAAGTTTTATTAATTAAATTCATACTTAATAAATTAATAATTCTAATAACATAAAATCTTATACTTTCAAAGTTTACATAGCAAAAATAGTGTTTTCATCAAGGTGGTGGTAAGAAATTAAATCATTTTGGGTCAAATGGGTCAATCTATGTTGCCATGATTAAATAATAAAATGAAAAAATAGAAATAAAAAAATGGGAACATTTTTAACATACATATTAAACAAGAATAAGTATGATAAATAAGAAATGTTTTTATTAATGATGGAAATGGAATGTAAAATTTAAACCCAATTAGAAATAAAAATATTTTCCTATTCTCTCTCATTAAATCCTGTATTTAAGATATATATTTCTCATCATTAAATTCTTGTAATTAAATTCATAATATTAGTTTTAATAGTACAAAGATAAATATTTTGAAAAGTAATTTAAAAACAAAATCATTTTCTTCCCTCTTGGTGGTGGACAAGCAATTTGACCATTTGGTGTCAAATGATTAATATGCCATAATTAAATAATAAAAAATTAAAACAAATAACTATGAAATGTAAGAAGTATTTTTATTAATAATGAAAATGGAATGCCAAATTTAAAATCTACCTAGAAATGAAATGACGTCATAGTCAAATAATAAAATTTTTAATAATAGAAAATATAAAGAATCACAAAAATAAAAAAAAAAGATAGAGAAAATTTTGGGCACATGTCTAATGTTATATATTTATAAAAAACAAAATATTAGGTACATCTCTAATATTATGCATTCATTATATTGAACAAAAATAAATTTTATACATAAGAAATAATTTTATTAATGATAGAAATAATAGAAAATTTTAATGTCAACCTAGGAATCAAACTATTTTTTTAGATGGTGGGTTAGTGTATTGAGTCAAATGGTACCATAGACAAACAAAAATTAAGTGTGATAAGTAAAAATATATATACAATGTAAATGAAACATATAATTTAAAGGAAAAATTATAATCAAAGTCAATTATACATTTAAAATTATGTTGCAAGTTGATCCAGAAACCAACAAAACTCTAACCACCGGCTCTACATTTCAAATTATAAAAACCCTTGCCATGTCATCAGAGGCTTATGTATAGTTATTGCCAACATGGAACTCTTAGTCCATGTTGGACATAGCAAAAAGCCTATAACAAAAATAGGCTTTTAGCTTCTCTCCCACTCCCTCTATCTTTCTCGATCTCCCTCCCTTCTCTCTCACTCTCATAGTCATCTCTTAATTTCCTGTTCCCTCGCCCTCTCAATCATTCTCCCTCAATCTCTCTCATTCTCCCTCTCGGTCAATATCTCCTTCTCCTTTAATCTCTATCGTTCTCTTGTTGGTGTAAATTTCATAGCCAAAAGTTTCTTGTGAATTTTTATAAAATTGGTGTAATGATTTTTGAACCATACCAAGTTGGTTTCATGTTCTTTTATACAATCTTATTAATACCATATAAGTGTGTAAGAAAAAAAAAGTATAAGAGAGGGAGCAAGAGAGAAACTAAGGAAGAACGATATAAATTAAGGGAGAATGAAAGATTGACCAAGAAAAAGAATGAGAGACATTGATATAGAGAATGTAAATACAAAAACAAAAAACCATTCTTATTTATTTTCAAATCACATAGTCATTGAGCAGATAAAGATGGTTGTGAGAGTGAGAGAGTGTAAGGGAGATTGAGAGAGAGAGAGAGAGAGAAACTAAAAACTTTTTTTTTATTTTCCAATCACCCAACATTGAAGAACAATTTCAACATAAGCTTTTTGTTGTGTCCAATATGGATTAAGAGTCCAATGTTAGCAATAGCCACATAAGCCTCTGATGACATGGCAAGGGTTTTTATAATTTGAAATGTAGAGTTGAT